ATTCTCGTTGTAGTATTGTTGCCACCACCGCCATGTCGTGAAACAATAATGTACAGTATGTGGAAAATAATGTGTTTTTTTAACCTTAAATACACAAATACACAAAATAATGTTCTTTTTAGCAGCATCATATGACCCCTTTAAAATAATTTTAAAGCAATCCATCATACATTTGATTTAAACAACCATAAAAAGGATATGATCAGCATTGAGCTTGTGTACAGTCTCTTTTCTCTCAGACTGATCTGCTAGAATAGACCAAATACTGTTCCCAGATCTGTAATAGACACAATTTTTAAATGACACAGTCAGAAGAACAAAAAGACTTTTGGCGTATTTGTCTTAACATTGGCCTTACAACTATTTAAAGTCCTTTAAATCGTTTTTGATACACAATTTCCTTAACATTTAAGGTGATTTAACCATGTAAAATACCGCTACTAATTACAAGCTTAATTGTAGTGTTTTGATTTTTGTACCTCTTCCATCTTTTCAGCACAAACAGAACCAGTGTAGTAATGTGAGCCAAAAGCAGAGCCAGGTGGAAGTATCGACTCAAGAACACATCCTCGGGAAGAAAACGCCAGTTCACCGTCCATTTAAACAGAAACTGCCTGCCCAAGTCAAACGCCTGACTAAAATACCCGACCGGGTTCACCAAGAGGAACGGCAGCCCCAATACCAGCTGAAAAGGAGAAAAACATCATGAAAAGCTGGTGTAAAACAGCAAAAAAAACAAAACAAAAAAAAATTCACTTAATTCACAAATTTATTAATTTTTTGTGTGTCTAACCTGAATTACAGCACAGAGAGTGAGTTTGGGTAAAGTTTTCCATAGACCGAACTCACACAGGAGGAGGAAGAGGAGACCAGGAGCGAAGAGCAGAACATTCATCTTCACAGACACAGCTAAACTGTCCACAGCACAGACAAATATATACGTTAAATGCACACACACTGCTGAAATGTTGAAGTGTTGAAGAGATCAGGCATCAAAACATTGTACAGAAGTATTGGATAACATGAATGGCAGAGAGAGAGAGAGAGAGAGAGAGAGAAAAAATCATCTATCACTCCATATAGAATGAAGATGATGTTTCTACTTGCCTGTAGAGGGCACATCCTAGAGTCCAGCGGCCATCCAGGAAGAGATTGATGGCTCCGAATAACAGCATCATGGCCACTGGATCATTAAAGAGACGCAAGACGAAGATGGAGTGAATCCGATATGAAGCACAGCAGACAAAGAAGAACACATACGGAGGAACCTAGAGAAGAATAAACAGACAAGCACTATTAAGACACTTTCTGAACCATGAATACAAACTTCTGTAAATGTCAAAAACAAGGTAAAACCAGAAATTAGCAATGCACTGCATTATTAGTAAGGTTTTTGTCATTGTAACCTAGAGATGAGTAGTTGCTGGATTACAGTTTATAGTAAGGCTTAAATTCAGAGGTTTATGTCTTGCAATAGTTGTTTAGCTGAAGTTGGATATAGAGGTCATAGAATTAATACATGTTGTAGAATTAATGTACACTGTATTACATAATTCATACACAACCATTCGAAGGTTTGGGATAAGTAAGATTTTTGAAAGAATCACTTATGCTGACCATGACTGCTTTTATTTGATCAAAAATACAGTAAAAACTGAAATATTGTGAACTAGTCTTTACTATTTAAAATAATCTTTTTTTTATTTTAATCCATTCTAAAATGTAATTTATTCCTGCAATGCAAAGCTGAATACTCCAGTCCTCAGTGTTACACGATCAAAGCATGTGATCTGGTGCTCAAAAACATGTCTTATTTTTAATAATGTTGAAAACAGTTGTGCTGCTAAATATTTGACCGTAATATAGAACCGTGATACATTTTTCTGGATGCTTTGATGAAGAGAAAGTTCACAGAAGAACAACATTTATGTGAAACGGATTTTTCTTTCAAATGTAATCTTACTGACCCCAAACAGTTGAACAGTGGTTTGTATATTTCACATTCTGAGTGAAAGGATCCTGGCTATTCTTGGGAAAAACAAAAAGTGACTGAACAGAATGTACAGTATGTATAATGGTAAACTACATGGATTTGCATTATATGGGGTCATTACCTTTTTGGTGCGATGGTAAATGCGGAACACAAGCAGGAGGGTGATGAGGTAGAACACAGCAAACACGTACTGACTCAAACGAATATTCTGTCCATGATCAGTAAGATAATACAGCCCAGTGAATATATACACAAAACCAGCTGGATACCTGAAACACACATACAGTATACAATCCAGTAAATGATTAGTGGCCAGATTTTCATTTAATATACCATACTACTGCCAGTGTTGAGGAGTTATTAGTTACATGTAATGGAATTACGTAGTTTAATTACAAAATAAATGTAATTGTAATCAGTTACAGTTACTGAGAATAAATGTGGTTAAATTACAGTTCTAAAAATGTTAACGATTACATCTGAAGATTTTTACACACACAGATTTGACACAGAATAGGACACATGCTTATTCGATAAATGTTTTATTTCCTACATGGGTTTATGTTAGGGATGCACGATATATCGGCCACCATATCGGTATCGGCCCATATCGGCTCATTTTTTCTGTTATCGGTATCGGCCTGATAAGAAAATTTGGCCGATATCTTAAAGCCGATAAATAATATATAATATTATAAATAGTATATAACATTCTAATGAGAACATTATTATAATAAAACGTTGTGAATTGCCTGGTTTACATGTTTGAAAATGAATAACAGTTGAAAACATTAGAAATTTAGAAAAGTAATCAAAAAGTAATCAGTTACATTGCTTTAATAAAGTAATTGAAACGGTTACGTTACTTATTACATTTTCAATAGGGGTAATTTATAATCTGTAACCTATTACTTTTCCCAGTAGATCCCGAAAATAACAGTAAAATAAGTACTAAAATGCATTACATTTCTGGGGTTATATTAATGTTTCACTGAAGGGAACTGTCTTGAGAAAAGCTTCGATGGCAATGGCATGCGCGGCTCTGCTTTGTTTACAGCGGTAACCAAGGAAACGCTATTGCGGTCGGTTCATAAGCAGTGTTGCCAAGTCCGCGGTTTCCCCGCGGAATTCCAAGTAGCTAGAACTGCAGACCGGAGATCTCCAAAATGGGGCGTGAACTCCAAAAGTGGGCAGAACCTCCAAAATGGGGCGGGGTCTCCACGCGCAAAGACTTTCACCATTGGCTCTGGCTCCAGCCAATTGTTATCGACTTACATTTCAAAATAAAACTTTATAAATTAAACATTGTTTCTAGTTAATCTAAAATAAAATATGCTATACAAGTAAATATTATTAGATAAATATTAATAGAGTTATATAATAGTATATAACTCTATTGCATTGTTCTAAGCAGCGGGGGCGTCCCGGGGCTCGAAATTCGCAGGGTATGAGGGGGTAGTGATGCTGGGTGTAACTAAAAAGGTGCCATTGTCCGGTGAGGTCCGGTTGGGGAGTTATGGAACGATCTCATATCGCATAATCTTATTAACGGTTTATCTCCTGGACTGCAACTTTCTTTACCACGCTATTCAGCGCCAATCCCGCCGTGCAGTCAACTTCACTGGTTAAGGTTAGGGTCAGGTGTGGGGTAGGTTTAGGGGTTAGCATTTTTTGTAGCATAATGTAGGAAATCAACACTTTAATTGACACAACCAATAAAATCTTTAGAATCAGCTGTGGGGCGGAGTTTGCACTGAAGTGGATTGGGGGGGGGGGAATTGCGCATGTGTGTCATGTGCCTGTCTGTCAATGGGAGGAAGTCACGCCCTATTTTGGAGCTCCCACCCCGTTTTGGAGTTCCCGCCCCCATTTGGAGATCTCCAGGCTGCAGTTATACCCTTCTCCAGAATTGGGATAACGTTACTTTAACACTGTTGCCGCGGGTTGCAGTTCATGTCCGGGGGTTAAAGCGACCCCAATAAGGTGATATTTATCCCCTGGAATGCGAATTTTACTAGAAGATCCCCACTGAAAACAGAGGAAGCCCCTCGAAACGCAATTGGACTCGTTTTATTGCGAAAACCTGGCAACCCTGCTCATAAGCGCCACCTGCTGACAGAAAGTGCGTCTCATTCACACCTGCTGTTTCTGTTTCGTGCAGATGTTTTATGTAGCAAATAAATAAATAACACCTAAAGTCAGACCATCCTTTTTTTTTTTTTTTAAATCCTGAAATTAATCTAAATCAAATCAAAAACAACTGCCCGTGCAGATCGTGATTAAAATGCAGGGGTTGCCTCTAATTTCAAGTGGCTAGATATTTTTGTTTGAAGCCAGTTTGTTTGTTATAAAGCAAATAGCCAATAAATACATTTGCTTAAATATCAGTATCAGAATCAGCCAATTTGCTAGTTTAAAAAAAAAAGAAGGAAAGAAAAGAACGTTTGAATCAGCTATGATCGGAGCATCACTAAATAAAATACTAAGTAAAAGGCCTCAGATTTGAAGTAACGTTACAATCCGGGATGTCTTTTTCTATCAGTTCTTCAATAGGTAGATCTTGTCTTTCATAAAGGCCGAGGTCAGGGATCTTGGGCCTAAAAAGGTTGGTGACCCCTGCTCTACAGAAATGTTCTGTGTTGACACTTACACCAGCGGCCCCGTGTCGCCCTTCAGCTGTATGTAGTCATATGTGCCGTTAATAACGCCCTCCACCTCATCCATATACGCCTTCCAGTCGATCTCAGTATCTACACACAAACACGTGCATCATTAGACAGAGCAATCACGATGGCACTTATTATTGGCATCTCTCTGCATACTGCGATGCAGTGTCATTTTGTCATTTTGGCTATATGGTGTGCGTGACTGACAGACAAGAGCAGTGGGTCTGTGCACGTGTTCCTTCTAGGGAGTCTCAAACTTAACCAGACTGTAATTTTGGAAGTTAGGTGTAACAGTTGAGTATGCATGAAATAAAGGAATGAATATACAACTGCATTAACAGGGTAATGGGTTCAGGAAAGTCGTGAGTGTTAAAGGTGATTTCTGCTTCTTATTCACGCGATACGCATTTCTGTTGTTTCAGACAGATCTTTAATATTTATTTATGAGCGTGTATATGTGTAATCGTGTTCAAAGCATTAGGGTTAAAGCCTTTAAAGGTCATTTATGGGTCACATATTTCATTTTGACAGCCTACATATGCTTTGCCTTGTTTGGTGATCTGTGGTTATTGTTATGTATGTTTCATTGTGATGGTGTTGATAGTTATTGTGTCGGTTTTCCTTAAATCGACGATCAAAACACCCCAAACTGCATAGACTTACATAATTGAAATGTTCAAATGTGCCAACTGTCAAACAATTCCAGTGTAAACAAAGACTTCCAAGGCTTTGTCATCTCTCTCTGTCTTTCATTTGTGCGTCTGTCTGTAATCAGCTAGAACACTTTGTCTGTTGGTCTGAGGTTCATTCTGACCTGTATAACTTTCAGTCTTTTAAAACGTTTTCAAACCAGGCTCTCAAGCCAACATCTACGTTTGTAGTTAATGGCACAGATTTTTATTTATTTATTTATTTTCCGTTTGTGTCAGTTAGGTAATTAGTAATTTTAGAGATTATTTAACTTGCCAAACTTTAATATCAGTTGAACCCCATGACATAAATTATTTAAATTGGACGTTTTGTGAACTCCTGTTTAGGGAAGCTAAAGAAACTAACCTGTGTTCATGTAATTCAACTGAACGATAATAGTAAAAATGACTGAAAATCCATGCTGAATCAAATCACCATAGGTTCACTTAATTCATCTTGGACCTTACACCTGTTCATTCTGTGTTCAGTAGTCTAGAGAAGAGGAAGAGGGTGAGGTGGAAGATGGAGGATTTCCCCATCGGGACAATGGAGATGGTGTGTTTGGGTTCAAGTGTAGCTCTCTCTGGTCTGTTTTATTACATCTACAGGAAGAAACGCAAAACCGTGGACAAACTTAAAGTGAGTAACATTGCAAAAAACGACGATTTAGACAGTATATATGTGAAATTAGTCCCTGGAATTAGTTCTTTGGATTTAAAATGCCTGCTACACAAGATTAGGAGAATTTTCTAAAAAAGAAACAAATCTGTTTTTGATGTAAGGAAGCTCCAATTTTGCCGCTGGATGAAAAGTTAGCAGATCTTTTGAATGCCGCACCAGGGAAATGTCTGCAGTATGTGGTCATTGAGGGTAACATTCATTTTCCATTATATAATGTCTCAGCTGATCTGTAGAATATAACTGGATCTCTCTTTCACTTCCACTGACTTGTTCTCAATTTCTCTCTCTCTATAGGTACAGTGCAGCCCATAGGGGAACCATTAAGGAGTCAGTTTCAAGAAGGCACTGTTGGTGTCATCCAGAAACTGGTCCTCCAAGAACACAAACTTGTGTGGAACAGTTTTGCACACACTTGGTAAGTCCTATGGACGTTTTGTGAACTCCTGTTTAGGGAAGCTAAAGAAACTAACCTGTGTTCATGTAATTCAACTGAACGATAATAGTAAAAATGACTGAAAATCCATGCTGAATCAAATCACCATAGGTTCACTTAATTCATCTTGGACCTTACACCTGTTCATTCTGTGTTCAGTAGTCTAGAGAAGAGGAAGAGGGTGAGGTGGAAGATGGAGGATTTCCCCATCGGGACAATGGAGATAGTGTGTTTGGGTTCAAGTGTAGCTCTCTCTGGTCTGTTTTATTACATCTACAGGAAGAAACGCAAAACCGTGGACAAACTTAAAGTGAGTAACATTGCAAAAAACGACGATTTAGACAGTATATATGTGAAATTAGTCCCTGGAATTAGTTCTTTGGATTTAAAATGCCTGCTACACAAGATTAGGAGAATTTTCTAAAAAAGAAACAAATTTGTTTTTGATGTAAGGAAGCTCCAATTTTGCCGCTGGATGAAAAGTTAGCAGATCTTTTGAATGCCGCACCAGGGAAATGTCTGCAGTATGTGGTCATTGAGGGTAACATTCATTTTCCATTATACAATGTCTCAGCTGATCTGTAGAATATAACTGGATCTCTCTTTCACTTCCACTGACTTGTTCTCAATTTCTCTCTCTCTCTAGGTACAGTGCAGCCCATAGGGGAACCATTAAGGAGTCAGTTTCAAGAAGGCACTGTTGGTGTCATCCAGAAACTGGTCCTCCAAGAACACAAACTTGTGTGGAACAGTTTTGCACACACTTGGTAAGTCCTGGTCTCTTGCTCATATAACTATACATAAATTAATACTTTTGTTCAGCATTAAACTGATCAAAAGTAACAACAAAGATATTATAATCAGAGTTGGGGTAACACATTACAAGTAACGCAAGTTACGTAATCAGATTACTTTTTTTTTTAAAGTAACTAGTAAAGAAACGCATTACTTTTTAATTTAGAAGGAAAGAGTTACTTTTTCAAATAAGTAACACCAGTTACTTTGTTTCCCATGTCTTGACTGACAGCTCTCGTGTTGCCATGTTGAGAGAAATCAGGAGTAAGTGTGACGATGTGTGCGCTGTGTAAATATGATTCTTACTGTAGTTCTAGAATAAATATAAACATGTTTACTCATCTCACCTGCACAAAAACAGATTCAGTATTCCTCAAAATGAATAAAAACAGTCAAATGCAAACTCAGAATATTATACAAACCTACTATAATTAAATGTTAAATAAGACAAATATCATTTATGTATTTAATGTAAAAATGACTGAAAATCCATGCTGAATCAAATCACCATAGGTTCACTTAATTCATCTTGGACCTTACACCTGTTCATTCTGTGTTCAGTAGTCTAGAGAAGAGGAAGAGGGTGAGGTGGAAGATGGAGGATTTCCCCATCGGGACAATGGAGATAGTGTGTTTGGGTTCAAGTGTAGCTCTCTCTGGTCTGTTTTATTACATCTACAGGAAGAAACGCAAAACCGTGGACAAACTTAAAGTGAGTAACATTGCAAAAAACGACGATTTAGACAGTATATATGTGAAATTAGTCCCTGGAATTAGTTCTTTGGATTTAAAATGCCTGCTACACAAGATTAGGAGAATTTTCTAAAAAAGAAACAAATCTGTTTTTGATGTAAGGAAGCTCCAATTTTGCCGCTGGATGAAAAGTTAGCAGATCTTTTGAATGCCGCACCAGGGAAATGTCTGCAGTATGTGGTCATTGAGGGTAACATTCATTTTCCATTATATAATGTCTCAGCTGATCTGTAGAATATAACTGGATCTCTCTTTCACTTCCACTGACTTGTTCTCAATTTCTCTCTCTCTATAGGTACAGTGCAGCCCATAGGGGAACCATTAAGGAGTCAGTTTCAAGAAGGCACTGTTGGTGTCATCCAGAAACTGGTCCTCCAAGAACACAAACTTGTGTGGAACAGTTTTGCACACACTTGGTAAGTCCTGGTCTCTTGCTCATATAACTATACATAAATTAATACTTTTGTTCAGCATTAAACTGATCAAAAGTAACAACAAAGATATTATAATCAGAGTTGGGGTAACACATTACAAGTAACGCAAGTTACGTAATCAGATTACTTTTTTTTTTAAAGTAACTAGTAAAGAAACGCATTACTTTTTAATTTAGAAGGAAAGAGTTACTTTTTCAAATAAGTAACACCAGTTACTTTGTTTCCCATGTCTTGACTGACAGCTCTCGTGTTGCCATGTTGAGAGAAATCAGGAGTAAGTGTGACGATGTGTGCGCTGTGGAAATATGATTCTTACTGTAGTTCTAGAATAAATATAAACATGTGTTTACTCATCTCACCTGCACAAAAACAGATTCAGTATTCCTCAAAATGAATAAAAACAGTCAAATGCAAACTCAGAATATTATACAAACCTACTATAATTAAATGTTAAATAAGACAAATATCATTTATGTATTTAATCCTATTTTTATTAACCAATGTCTTTGCTACTGACTTTCGTTGATCATATTCAACAAATAGTAAGCAAAAATGACACATTTGTGTTTAATTTTTGTTATTGCTGAATAGTGTAAAACTTTCTTCTGTGTCATATTCTTCATGCAATTTGTTTGAGCTGTGCCCTCTACTGCACAGACATGAATTTACATTTCCTTCACTTTTGTTGTGAAAGAGCTTTTACATTTGTAAAAAAATAACGTTTTTATATTAAAAACAAACAAGCAAGCCCTGCCAAGATTTAAAAAGTAACTCAAAAGTAACATAACGCATTACTTTCCATAAAAAGTAACTAACATAATTAGTTTTTTAGGGAGTAAAGCAATATTGTAATGTTTTACTTTTAAAAGTAACTAAATAGTAAGCAAAAATGACACATTTGTGTTTAATTTTTGTTATTGCTGAATAGTGTAAAACTTTCTTCTGTGTCATATTCTTCATGCAATTTGTTTGAGCTGTGCCCTCTACTGCACAGACATGAATTTACATTTCCTTCACTTTTGTTGTGAAAGAGCTTTTACATTTGTAAAAAAATAACGTTTTTATATTAAAAACAAACAAGCAAGCCCTGCCAAGATTTAAAAAGTAACTAAAAAGTAACATAACGCATTACTTTCCATAAAAAGTAACTAACATAATTAGTTTTTTAGGGAGTAAAGCAATATTGTAATGTTTTACTTTTAAAAGTAACTTTCCCCAACACTGATTATAATAATTCAAAACATTACTATTTCAAACAAATGCTGTTCTTTCGAAATTTCTATTCATCAAAGAATGCTGAAAAAAGTACCACGTTTTAAAAAAAATATTAAGCAGCACAACTGTTTTCAACATTGCTGACAATAAGAAATGTTCATTGAGCACCAAATCAGCATATTAGAATGATTTCTGAAGGATCATGTGACACTGAAGACTGAAGTAATGATGCTGAAAATATGCCATCTTTCAGGACAGACAGCAAGCGTGTGCTTCACCAGCGTGTGAATGCTGTGCCCTTCCTGCTGGGTGTGAACAAGGCGTTTGTGCGTGTGCTCTGTCCCCTGGAGGCCACGGGTCCCAATATGGAAATCGTCCATGAGAAGTTCCACCAGGCCAGTTACGGCTTCACGGACCTGATCGGTCAGTACCTGAGCGGAGAGAAGCCCAAAGGTCAACTTGAAACAGAGGAGATGCTGAAAGTGGGCGCGTCTTTGACCGCAGTGGGTGAGCTCATCCTGGACACAGACCGCCTCCCAAAAATCCGCCCACCCACCGACGGCTCAGAGTACTTCCTGAGCACAGACGACTTTGAGACCCTGCGGCTGGAGCAGGAAGAGCAGGCGGAGGTGTGGAGGGTGCTGGCGTGTGTTTGCGCATTGGCAGGTGTGGCCGTGCTGATGTGGGTGGGACGCAGTTACTATCGCCAGCTGAAGCTGTGGTGGGAGCAGGAGAACATGAGGAGGGAGTTTGAACTGATGGGCGCAGGAGAACGAGGAGAGGAGGAGAATGGTGTTGACGTACTGGAGAACTCGTGTGTGATATGTCTGAGTAAACCACGAGGCTGCGTGCTGCTGGACTGTGGACACGTGTGCTGCTGTTTCCGCTGCTATCAGGCCTTGCCACAACCCATCTGTCCCATCTGCAGGCAGAACATTAAACGTGTCATTCCTTTGTATCAGGCCTAAGAGACATGGTTTACTCTTATACAAATGAACAGTTATGCTGGATTTACATGATTTACTTCTCGAAACAGCCGTAAACTTTAAAACAATGTTATTCTGTGAACAGGACACCTGCGATAGAAGCAACACACAGATTCCTGATACGCACTTTAGTTTTACCATTTTAGTTTTCCATATTCCTATGGAAGCTTATTTCTTCCACAGAATAAAAAATCAGTAATATCAATAAATCTATCTATTTATCTGTCTGTCTGTCTGTCTGTCTATCTATCTATGCTCAGTGTTACATTATTATATGTATAATAGTAAGTTCAGATTCTCGAATCTGACTTGACAAGAGGCTTTCCAACAGTGTTATTGACATTTCAGCAGGACGAGTATGCTCATTTTACACAGTCTATCAGTCAGTGCAGTTACATTATTATGCCATTAGGGACCGTCTTTACTAGTGAATCAACTAATACATTTAAAAACGCTTCAATCATGAATGAAATTCATTTGAAATTAGTTTAACATTGAATGGCACTTCACAAGGCTCAATCGACGATCAATGCGTTACCTGGGTAAAGCTGATGTTTCATTTTATAGCGAAGAATGCCATTGATTCAATGCATTGAACAGCGCTGACTTAGTCATGGGAAATCCCCTTAAACACCGAAAGGATGCTATGACAAAGATATCGCTTTCATCTTTTGACAACTGATGGCAAACTGATTTTTTCCCACAAAAATATGACTTGACTTGAAGAAGGATAGAATCACAATGGCGTACAGATGTAAAAAAAGAGCCAACTGATGTAAAAAAATATTACTCCCTTCACTCGTTATGAATATTAATGTATTGAACAGTCAATGCACATGCATTAAGTGTAAAACGAGTAGGGCATAGCCTCATGAAAAAAAACATGAACATCGTGGTTGTTGAGGTGGCTTGCCATACTCTGCGGCTGGCTTGTCAGTAGTGCGATATTACAATAATGCGGTTATCATGACAGCTTTTTATCTCTCATAATTGCACATTTAAACCCACAATAAGACTTTTCTTCTCTTGCATGTCATAAAATTGCAATTCTGAGTTTATATCTTGCAATTCTGAGAAAAAAAGGTCTGAACTGTGAGATATAAACTTTGATATAAAACGAAGAAAGAATGTATGAATTGTGAGATTGAGAGTCTTATGTTTTATTCACTGGTAGAAATAAGCTTCCAAATATCCCTGCTAGTTAAAAAGTGAAAAGTCAAGTTTCTCAGAGCTCAAACATATCACATTACATTAGTTTGGGATGAAATAGCATAAAGTCAGAGCAAATATGCTTTGACATTTTAGTGAATATCCTCATAAACATGTCTTTGAGTTTGACTTTCTGTTTATTATTCAAGTATCTCATTTTTGGCACTAATCAAATGGTTCAAGTTTTTGTTTTTCATTAAAAATGATGGCTATAGCTATATTGTATTGAATGGCTGGTACAAATAAGCCTATAATCTAAAATTAAAATGTTTAATATGGTAAGCTTAGCGCCTTAATTTATTAATGAGATACTTCACTGGGTAGTTTGTTTGTTTTTGAGTTTTCGATTTCCTTTAAGTCCAGATTTTAAGCATGTACTTTGTGTTTGGTCAATAAACACAGTTGCGTACTTGCTGTTCTTCCGTTCCAGCATTATTTGAAGTTTTCACATACAGATTCTAAATCATAAGTACCTCAGTTGTTGCTACACTCAGTGATATTGCTGATCTATTAGTGCTTGTGACATGAAAAGTCATAATTCTTCTGAGAGAGACGTGTGTGTTTGCCAGCAAGGAATCTTGCAAGTTCTTATGCAACAGCTGCTGTGATCCTGTTACAAATAACTTCTGTAAATTACCCACAACAACCTTCCCCTCTCCTTCTGACTTTTTGTCTTAAATATAAGCAAATGAGATGCAGAATAAATATTTGAAGAATAAAAAAAAACTTTGCCAAGGTCAAACTGAACTTTTGATGATGCTGCATTTACCAGTAAAGCTTGTCATTTTACATTAAACCACTAGAGGGTAAAAGAGGGCCAGACTGGTAAAGTGAAGGACATTTATTTGCATGAATTAATAATGCATCTCTTGCATTAATGATTTTTTAATTAATTTGCATTCATTTTTTAATTTTCATCCTCTGCCCCTGCCTCTTGCCCTTCAACTTGAAAACCGAAGTTCAATTGGCTGTAAAAGTTATTTCAACTTAAATGATATTAAACTGACTTTAAAAATCAAGTTAAATCTCATAAATAAAAAAGAAAATAAAGTTGACACTGATTAAATAATTAAGTCCAGATTTTAAGCATGTACTTTGTGTTTGGTCAATAAACACAGTTGCGTACTTGCTGTTCTTCCGTTCCAGCATTATTTGAAGTTTTCACATACAGATTCTAAATCATAAGTACCTCAGTTGTTGCTACACTCAGTGATATTGCTGATCTATTAGTGCTTGTGACATGAAAAGTCATAATTCTTCTGAGAGAGACGTGTGTGTTTGCCAGCAAGGAATCTTGCAAGTTCTTATGCAACAGCTGCTGTGATCCTGTTACAAATAACTTCTGTAAATTACCCACAACAACCTTCCCCTCTCCTTCTGACTTTTTGTCTTAAATATAAGCAAATGAGATGCAGAATAAATATTTGAAGAATAAAAAAAAACTTTGCCAAGGTCAAACTGAACTTTTGATGATGCTGCATTTACCAGTAAAGCTTGTCATTTTACATTAAACCACTAGAGGGTAAAAGAGGGCCAGACTGGTAAAGTGAAGGACATTTATTTGCATGAATTAATAATGCATCTCTTGCATTAATGATTTTTTAATTAATTTGCATTCATTTTTTAATTTTCATCCTCTGCCCCTGCCTCTCGCCCTTCAACTTGAAAACCGAAGTTCAGTTGCTGCCTTACATTTTTAAGTATTCAAATTGGCTGTAAAAGTTATTTCAACTTAAATGATATTAAACTGACTTTAAAAATCAAGTTAAATCTCATAAATAAAAAAGAAAATAAAGTTGACACTGATTAAATACATTTTATGATTTAAAGTAATAAAAAAATATTTTTTTATATTTTGAACACCTGATCACTTTCATAAATAAAACATGCAGAGAAGTACTGTGTACACCATGATAGTGATTGCATCAGATAATACCAAGGCACTTTTATATATTCAATGGTATATTTCAGTATTTTTATTGTTAACTAAATAAATAGATTTAAAAAAAAATATTTAAAAAAATTGTTAATTAAAATAAAGCTGAAATAAAATAAAGTTTGATTAAAAACATGAAAAAACAAGTGAAAATAAAAAAATGCTTTTGTGGCAACTAAGTATTTTACAAAGTCCTAAAATTAAATTAGTAAAAAAAATATTTAATGAAAAATGCACTAAAAGCACTAACAAAAGTACTACAACTTAAGCTAAAATGAAAACTGTTAAAAATGCTAAATATTAATAAATACTATATTATAAATTATTCTAAAATAACAATAGCCTATATTCATACACCAGCAATATTCATATACAATTAGATTTAAATAAAATCCAATATATTTCAGATAATATCATAGTCATATATTCAAGGAATATCTTGGGTCCAAAAAAAAGATAAAATAGGACAATAGATTTTTAGAATAGAAGATTGCATAGTGTTAAAAAATGTAATGCTTCTTTTTTGTAAGTGAAATCTGTCATGAAGTGGAATCGATATTAAATAAAATAGCTGGCAACAAGAATAACAACAGCACAAACAAAAAGACATTTGCTGCTATGTGACATGAGCACAAAAATCAGAGAATTTCACAAGTAAAAAAAAAAAATTATTGTGTTATCCTAGCCACGTAATTGCTTATGCTTCTCAGCGTGCAGCTGTTTGTAACGTGCCCATGGCCTGTGCCTCATCTGCGTACGCTCTCATCTCCGTCTCATCTCCAGTGATGAGAACACAGTATTGTGTTCCTGCTTCAGTGTTTTGATAAAAAGCTCCAGAGGAAAGAATGCGTGGGTGTGTGTACAGTGAACTGCCAACCAGTGCTCAAAGACACTCATTAGCTGGTGCCAATTACACTGCCACCCTGATCTTCTGCAGATCTCACATTTGACCCAGCAGAGCCAAAGTGGCAAGGAAGGTGGTGTTTTCTCACTTAACTTTACAGGTGTTTCTTCAACTATAATGTTACAGGTGCATCTCAATCAATTAGAATGTCGTGGAAAAGTTCATTTATTTCAGTAATTCAACTCAAATTGTGAAACTTGTGTATTAAATAAATTCAATGCACACAGACTGAAGTAGTTTAAGTCTTTGGTTATTTTAATTGTGATGATTTTGGCTCACATTTAACAAAAACCCACCAATTCACTATCTCAACAAATTAGAATACTTCATAAGACCAATAAAAAAAAATGTTTAGTGAATTGTTGGCCTTCTGGAAAGTATGTTCATTTACTGTACATGTACTCAATACATGGTAGGGTCTCCTTTTCGTACATGTACAGTAAGTGAACATACTTTCCAGAAGGCCAACAATTCCCTAAAAATTTTTTTTTATTGGTCTTATGAAGTATTCTAATTTGTTGAGATAGTGAATTGGTGGGTTTTTGTTAAATGTGAGCCAAAATCATCACAATTAAAAGAACCAAAGACTTAAACTACTTCAGTCTGTGTGCATTGAATTTATTTAATACACGAGTTTCACAATTTGAGTTGAATTACTGAAATAAATTAACTTTTCCACGACATTCTAATTTATTGAGATGCACCTGCATGTCCAAGGGATTTGAAGCTTTTTGCTTTTTTGTTATATCAAAGAGTCACAAGAGTGTCTCGGAAACCTCATCCAAAAACATTTGCTGATTTTCAAACATGCCTTTTATGTTTTACACTACAAAGATTTTTATGTTTTCAAAAGAAGTCTCTTATGCTCACCAAAAATACAGTAAAAACACCAATATTGTAAATAAATAACTGTTTTCTTATTATTATATACATTTCTTATTCTAAATGCTGAAAACAGTTGTGCTGCTTTTTTTTTTTTTTTTCTTTTTTAACTATGATACATTGTTTTTCAGTATTCTATTATTAATAGCAGATTTAAAAAGAACAGCATTTATTTGAAATAGAAAATGTTTGCAACATTATAAATGGGTTTACTGTCACTTTCGACCAATTTAATGCATCCTTAATAGTAACTAATAATAAAAGTATTAATTAAATTG